TGACTCAGCTGTGTGTGTGTGTGTATATATATATATATATATATTCTTTTTCATATTCTTTTTTCCATTATGGTGTGTCACAGAATACTGAATATAGTTCCCTGTGCTATACAGTAAGACCTTGTTGTTTATACATCTTATGTATAATAGTTTGCCTCTGCTAATCCCAAACTCCCATTCCTTCCCTCCCCTACGGCCCGTCCCCCTTGGCAACCACAGGTCTGTTCTCTATATGTGTGAGTCTGTTTCTGTTTCACAGATATGTTGATTTGTATTGTATTTTAGATTCCATGTATAAGTGACATCATATGGTATTTGTCTTTCTCTTTCTGACTTACTTCGCTTAGTATGATAATCTCTAGGTCCATCCATGTTGCTGCAAATGGCATTATTTCATTCTTTTTGATGGCTAATATTCCACTGGATACATATACCATTTTATCTTATTTATCCATTCATCTTTTGGTGGACATTTAGGTTGTTTCCATGTCTTGGCTGTTGTAAATAGTGCTGCTGTGAACAGAGGGGTGCATGTATCTTTTCGAATTATAGTCCTGTCTGGGTATATACCCAGGAGTGGGATTGATGGATCATATGGCAACCCTAATTTTAATTTTTTGAGGGGCCTCCATTACTGTTTTCCATAGTGGCTGCACCAAAAAAAATTTCTTTTTAACTTTCAGTAATCATATTGGTGATGGTAGTATTAATATTATTACTCTGAAATTATTATGTGTGTAATGTACAATAAAACGAAGAAATAATTATGAGATATTCAGATTCTATCATCTCCCGAGTCTTGAGAATCAATATTCTTTCTTTGTATGGAAGAAAGAATATACAGATGTAATATAAAAGTGGTTATGTGCAAACCCCATAGTCTTGAATTCAAATCAGAAGTGCCAGTCAGTATATATTCATGTTATGGACATCTGTTCATATCACTTTTACTAGGTAGGATGAGATCTAACTCATCCTTTAGATCCTTTAGATGGCTGAAGAATATTCAGTTATATGGTTTTACCACAATTTATTCAAGTATATATATATTTCCTCCCCAAATTTTACTATTACAAATCATGTGGCAATGTGTTTCCGAGTATATGAAAGAATATTTTTGAATGAGAAATTCCTAGGAATAGAATGCAGGGTCAAGGACTATGATCTTTGAAGTGTATTATATAATTGCCTTCCAAGAACGTTGTATCAATTTGCATTTCTACTATGAATGGCTGAGAGTACTGTCTTCCCACAACCTCATTAATCTATTTTCAGTCCAGTGGGGAATATATTGCTTTGATATATATTTATCTGATCATAAAGAGAATCTTTTTTCAAGTTTATAGGCCATTTGTATTTCTTTTGTGAATTGCCTACTTAAAATTTGACTCATTTAAAGTCAGATGCTTTTATTGTTTATTTGTACGCACTTTCGATATATTAGGGGTGTTTATACTTTTTCAGTTGTACATTTTGTAACTATTTTTCCTTAATCAGGCACTTATTTTAATATGAGACTTAAAATTTTTATGTAGCCAGACTCATCAAACCCATTCCCCTTTTAATGACTCCTGGATTTTTTGTAACATTTAAAAAAATGGTCTACTTTACCTCCAAGTCATAATAGTTCTCTCATATTTCTTCTAGTAGTTTTACAGTTCTTTATTTTACATTTAGATTTTTAATCCACTGAAACTTTATTATGTGTGGAGTGAAATAGGTATATATGCATGTAGGTATCCTATCTATGAATCATCTATCTATCTATCTATCTGTCTATCATCAGTTTGCCCAACAGATAGGCAACTCTCCAACAACCTTTGGGAAATAGTCTATCTTTTCCCCCTTGATTTGAAAACCCACTTTCTACTCACTAAATTATTGTATGTAATAGGTATTCTTTACATTTCATTATGTTACAGTGATCTATGCCTGTATCTTTGCTGGTACCATAGCCTTTTTTTTTTTTTTTTTTTAATGATGAGGGACAAGAGTTTGTAAAGTTTTTTTCTGTTCACATATGTAAATGGGCCAAGACAACAGACAGACCTTGTTATACCAGCAATCTGCTCTATAAATCCTAGGCTCCCATTCCAGCTCATCCCTCTGACTTCTTGGGTCCCCTTTTTGGCGTCCTGGGTCCCCTTAGCCTCTCGGTCTTATTTATCCCTCCAGGGGCCATTTCAGGTATTTCTATACCCTGACCGAATCTGTACCAAACTTTGAATTATTTTAGATTAATATACATTTCAACATTTGGAACTTGCTCTCAAGTTCCCTGCAGTATTATTCTTTCACATATGTCTTCACTATTCTTGCACATTTGCTTTCCAAATGACCTTAACGATCAATTTGTTAAATTAAAATAACTATTAGGATTTTGATTGAAATTGCATTATATTAATAAATTTGGGCAAGAGTAAAGAAATACACAGTGTGTGTCTTCACATCCAAGAATATCATCTCTTACTCTAGGTCTTTGGAAAATGCCTTTCAGTACATTTTCATACAAAGTGCTTGTGTTTTTCTCATTAAATGTATTTTTAGATGCAATATAATTGCTGTGGTATTTTGAATGTGGTTCTGCTTTCCAGTATATATATATTTTTTCAGTATGTTTTACAACTGATTTCTGCTTATATAAAGTTAAGTTATCACATTTAAAAATATTTACCCACCGAAAGCAGGAGGCAGAGTCCATTCTTGTGGAGACCTTGAGGGATGGGACAAGTGGGCTGGGGAGACACCTCTCCTGGGTGCATCACATGTGATTTTCTTCTCTTCTCCCACATTTGAGGGCTGGCCCTGTTACAAGCTGAGCCTCATTCCAGGGTGGACTTTTCCCTTGCTTGAGCCTTGGATACCACTAAGTCAGTACGTCAGCTCACTCAGTGACCTTCCAGAATCTCCAGGCACCTGTGAGATTTATAACAAAATGCTACTCCTCCATTTCCCAAGCCTCCCATTCTGTGCTCAGAGATGAGGTATCCATGGCATTACTGGTGGCCCAGAATGGTGTCTATTTGCATCACACAAGTCAACATTTAATATGTACTATGTAGTCTTTCTTGATAAAACTTCTAAGTATACTTTATGGCAAGAGAGTTTAGATATTTCTTGTAACATTAGATACTTTCAGGAGTTCTGGGGTAGGGAATATGCCAACTTATTATACCCCATGTTGCTAATTCCCTGTGGAAATTGGTACAAAATTGCACTGACGTGGGCGGGACAAAACGTTAGGTGGTAAGTGAAGCCATTGGGGTCTGTATTTTTCAAGCCTGTATACATATATATTTGTGTACGTACACACACACACACACACACACACACACACACACACACACACACACACACACACACACACACACACACACACACACACACTTTCCTGGCTTTTGGGTAGGCTCAGTACCCAGCAGGACTGAAGTCATGTACAGAGCCTTCACAATTAATATTGGAAACTGTCTAACAAGTTGTACAATTTGGTTTAATGGGATGTCTGATGAGTAACACATGGTTGTTTGTCAACTAAAAATATGTTGAAGACCTTTCAGCAAACCAGGGGAGACATCTCTTGTGTCACATCTCACAAACAGCTGCGCCCTGCCCTGGGTACACATAATTGCTGAAACTGATTGGGGAGGGCTGGAAGTGTTGATGCTGTCGTATTAATTTGCTCCATAAATCAACACATGAACTTGACAGCCCTTTAAAATCTTTATCATCGTGCATTTATCTTTTCTGTTCTGAAGGAGCTGTATCTGACTTCGATCCAAAGCAACTTATATTCATTAAACAAATATTTATTGAGCATTGACAGGTGGTGAAGATTAATATTGGCAGGGTCTGGGACCGTCTTCAAGAAGCTCACAGTTTCACAGGGAAATAGACATATAAGCCAAAAATTGCAACTTAGTGTCATCAGGGCGGTGATAGGCGTAGAGGTAGTGTTGCTGCAAAGATTCATTCATTCTTCATTCATTCATTTTTTCATTCCACAAAGACTAAGACCTGCTAAGATAGAGGTGTGGCCTCTGCAGACACAGGACACAGTGCCTACTTCAGAGAGCTCAGTTTAGGAGCAAGAAACAGACATACAAATGGATTATAAACAAATATAAGCTATGGCAATCTGTAGCGGGTATGGTGGGGCAGGCCAGAGCAGGGAAAGGTCATCTCATGTTGGGGAATCAGGGAAGACTTAATAGGTGAAGTGGTGCTTGAGGTAAGTCTTGAAAGATGGGCAAATGTTTATATCCTGGGTGGGTGAGGAAAAAAATTCAGTGATGGGGGTGGCATGTGCAAAGACCCTTTTTTGCGGGGGTGGGCGGTGCAGAGAGGACAGATGGTTCAGGACCAGGAAGTAGTGTGGCATGGACTGAGCATGGTGTGAGGTAGCTGTGGTGAGAGGGGTGGCCAGAGGATCAAGTGCAGGTCACATCATGAATGGTCTTAAACGCCCAGCCAGGGAGCCTAATGTTTTCCCCAAACCTCATTCACAGTCAAGTCCCAGCTTTGTTCTTCCTTCCTCGCATGATATGGGAACATATATGTATATGTATAAGTGACTCACTTTGTTATAAAGCAGAAACTAACACACCATTGTAAAGCAATTATACTCCAATAAAGATGTTAAAAAAATAATAATAACAATGATGTTTCTATAACCAAGGTTTAGAAATGTGATTTCTGAGAATCCCTAGCTCTGTTCCTTTAATTTCTTCCCTATTAAGGAAACTAAAATAAATTATCTATAAAGATTGTTTAAAAAAAAAAAAGAAACGTCAGCTCTGATTGTTTATGTGATGTAAAACACAATGCAAAGTCTCAGGCTTGAGAATACCATGCACATGAAATAGGAAGCTTTGAATTAAGTTTGATTGCCTGTTTATGAGGTTTTTGGCTTGCTTATCTGTTCACTTTTTTATCAGACCCCACCTTAGAACTAGAGAATCAATCTGAATATTAACAAGACCTTCCCTCCTCCCCCCCACCAGGTGATTCGATGCTGAATTAACTATGAGGAGCGTTGGTCCCCGAAAAGAGCCAGGTCAGTCTGACTTCAAAATTTCTCCTCTTTCTAAGACCTCATGTTGCTCTATTTTTGGTTACCGCCCAGGTTTATTCCTAAATATCATGAACAGTTTTGGCCAGGAATAATGGATCCAGCGTCAGAGGGTGCATATTTCTACCTATAGTGTGAGTTTGGGGTTTAAAGTGCTGATACGGTTTGTGACTGATCAGAATGGAAAATAGCACATGGGGCTCCCCAATTTGTAAGGCTATGAAAAAGTCTTCATGGAAAATAGAGTAGAAAATTCTTCATTCTAACGCGGAGTCAAGCGGTTTCTTTTTAAGCTTTTTTTTCTTTTTTTTTTGATGTGGACCATTTTTAAAGTCTTTATTGAATTTGTTACAATATTGCTTCTGTTTTACGTTTTGGTTTTTTGGCTGCAAGGCATATGAGATCTTAGCTCCCGGACCAGGGATCGAACCCATACCCCCAGCATTGGAAGGCAAAGTCTTAACCACTGGACTGCCAGGGAAGCCCCTCAAATGGTTTCTTATGAAAGAAAATTCTGATATTAAGAAGAAACCCATACTGGGCATATACCCAGAGAAAACCATAATTCAAAAAGGCACATGCACCCCAATGTTCATTGCAGCACTATTTACAATAGCCAGGTCATGGAAGCGACCTAAATGTCCATCAACAGATGAATGGATAAAGATGTAGTACATATGTACAATGGAATATTACTCAGCCATAAAAAGGAACGAAATTGGGTCATTTGTAGAGACGTGAATGGACCTAGAGACTGTCATCCAGAGTGAAGTAAGTCAGAAAGAGAAAAACAAATATTGTATATTAACACATACATGTGGAATCTAGAAAAATGGTACAGATGAACCGGTTTGCAGGGCAGAAATAGAGACACAGATGTGGAGAACAAATGTATGGACACCAAGGGGGAAAGTGGCTGGTGGTGATGGGGTGAATTGGGAGATTGGGATTGACACATATACACTAATATGTATAAAATCGATAACTAATAAGAACCTGCTGTATAAAAAAAAATTCAAATAAAAGAATAAAAATAAAATAAATAAAAAGAAACCCAATCTTACCAAGCCGATTTATTGGGCAATGTTTGCTGACATTGCAAAATATTTTCTTCTTTAACTACTCAGTGTGCTTACTTATTCATTGATTCATTCATTCCACAAACCTTTGTTTCCTGTGCTGTGTCCTGGAAACAGAGGAGTAGTACATGGTCACTGTCCTCAAGGAGTTCATGATCTGGAGGAAGAGACAGATAAAACACTAATTACAACCCATTGTCATATGTGATAGATTACAGCCCTTTTGTGACAGAGACTTTTCTGCTGGTCCCAATTTCAAGCATTTTGTTTAATGTGTAGACCACATATGTGAGTGTCTCAAAAAGTTGTCACATTTGTGTACTGTCACCTTAGTTATATTCTAGTTACCAACAAAGTGCTTGGGAGTAGGGGAGTGGTACAGAGAAAGGGGTAGCTTTGTTGGCTGGGGACAATTCATAGGGTTGATAACCTTCGTTCACTCATTTGATAGATGTTTACTGAGGCAGGTATAGGAGGGGGGGATCGGGGGATTGGGCAGATTCTTGCAATATCAAGTATAACCTGTGGCAGAGTAAATGTCTGTAAATACATTTTTTAAAAATAAATTTATTTTACTTATTTTTGGCTGCATTGGGTCTTCGTTGCTGCACGTGGGCTTTCTCTAGTTGCGGCAAGCGGGGGCTACTCTTCGTTGTGGTGTGAGGGCTTCTCACTGCGGTGGCTTATCTTGTTGCAGAGCATGGGCTCTAGGCGCGCAGGCTTCAGTAGTTGTAGCACGCAGGCTCAGTAGTTGTGGCTCGCGGGCTCTAGAGCACAGGCTCAGTAGTTGTGGCGCATGGGCTTAGTTGCTCCATGGCATGTGGGATCTTCCTGGACCAGGGCTTGAACCTGTGTCCCCTGCATTGGCAGGTGGATTCTTAACCACTGCGCCACCGGGGAAGCCCTGTAAATACATGTATATGGTGGTTTTTGTTTAAAAAATCTGAATGACCAAGGGGGATTGGGGATTAGGAATGAACAAGATATCCTTGGTTCCTGTCCTTTGTCTCCCAGAGAAGATGCTGCTAAATATATAATCAGATGATAAATCAACTAATTCTGCTTGTGACAAACATTTGGGGGAGGTGGAGAGTTCTATGAGAGTATGTGATGAGAGAGGTGACCCAGCCTGAAGCATCAATAAATGCTTCTCTGATAACTGGAAATGTATAATAGTCTTTGACTTACATAACCCCGTTTCCTCCTCCCCATACAGTATTTGTCTTTCTCTGTCTGATGGCTTATTTCACTTAGCATAATGCCCTCCAGGTATATCCATGTTGGTGCCAATGGCAGGATTTCCTTCTTTTTATTGGCTGAATAATATTCCATCGTGCATGTGTGTATATATATTTATAGCACATTTTCTTTATTCATCCACAGGTCAGAGGTACAAATTTTTAATTATAAGAAGAATAAGTTCTCAGGATCTAATGTACAGCATGGTGACTATAGTTAATAATACAGTATCGTGTACTTGAAAGTTGCTGAGAATAGGTATTAGCCACACACACACACACACAAAATTAAGTATGTTAACTGAGGGAGGTGATGGATATGTTAATAATCTTGATCTTGTTAGTCATCCTATAATGTATATGTATAACAAATCATCACATTGTACACTTTAAATATATGCAATTGTATCTGTCAATTAGTCCTGAGTAAAGTTAAAAAAAAGAGAGAAATTCTTCTCGGAGGCTATGACGCATGAGCTGATACTTGAAGGGAGACTCCTGGAGGGAGGTGCATTCCAGGCAGCAGGAACACCAAGTGCAAAGGCCCCGGGGCACAATGGAACTTGGTGCATTCCTCCAAATGAAAGCTAGTGTGGCTAGAAGAACATGGGCCATCTTGGAAGTTAGTTGTCCTCCTTACTTGGCGTTTGTTTAAATACAGAGTTCTCTCTCAGCCTTGTGGACAGGAGAGATGTGACAAAATAGAAAGAAACCTGGCCCAAGAGACCACTTACCAGTTATTTAACCATGGACACTGACCACAGTTTCCCCATCTACCCCAGTGGGGTTTCCTGCTCCCCCTCCCCCTGCTTATCGACAAGACATTGTGGATGGGAAAGTGCTTAGAAGCAGTACAAACTCTATTGTTATGAACTGTATTGTTATGAAGTCCCTGCCTCGCCTTCTGTCACCTCAGGGATACATCTGTGGGGTAAAGAGAGGTAAAGTGGCTATGATCTTGGCTTCCGTGTTGAAGGGTGGTGGTTAATTTAAGAGACTCAAGTTTTTCTTCTTAAGCACACAGTAGCATTGTAGAAAACAGCTGACTGTCCCCAGCTGCCTGTAAACACCCAACCGGAAGCAGCGGACAAAGAGCTGATTATGACAGAAAGGCACCCGGCTGTTAGTACTGAGCTGACAGATGTCATTAGCAAGTGAGAATGAAAGGGAAATTGGCCAGTTGCGGGAGAGACGACGCCTCTCTGCACTTCTTAGAAATCCGGTGGGCAGTACAATAGGGGTGGCACTTGGATGGGGTGAGGGTCATGGCTGGGGATAGGGGTGTCTCAACCATAGATCCAGACCATCTCCAGCACTGTGGGGACTTGAGGATGTAATTATTCTCAGATCGGGCATAGGTGGGAACCAGGGGAAGGCAGTAAATGAATCAAAGTTTAACTCTGAGGATTAACGGTTGAGGTACATGATGGGTTGAATGATGTCTCCCCCCCACCTTGCGCCCTCCCCCCGCAAGATATGTTGAAGTCCTAACTCCGAGTACTTCAGAATCTGATCTTATTTGGAAATAGGGTCTTTACAGAGGTAATCAAGTTAAGATGAGGTTGTTAGGGTGGGTTCTAATCCAATATGACTGATGTCCCTATAAAAAGGGGAAATTTGGACACAGAGCCAGACACACACAGAGGGAAGATGGTGTGAAGACCCACAGGGAAATGATGGCCATATAACTGGAGTGATATATCTTCAAGGGATATATCAAGGGATGCCAAGGACTTCTGGTCAACACCAGCAGCTAGAAGGAACAAGGAAGGATTTTCCCCTAAAGTTGTCAGAGAGAGGCTGCCCCTGCAACACTGTGATTTTGGAGTTCCAGCCTCCAGAACTATGAAACAATACATTTCTGTTGTTTTAAGCTAGCCAGGTTTTGGTACTTTGTTACAGCAGCCCTGGGAAATGAATCCAAGGAGCTTTCCATGAGGATCGTTTAACTTTTCAAACTTCTCCAGTAAGACAGAGGTATAATATTTTTGCCACAGATAATGAGGGAGGCAGTCATTTTCTCAGAGCCACTGCCAATTCATTCAAATACTTATCATATCCCGACTGTGCCCACCTGCATGCATGCCTCCTCTGTCCAGGCACCATGACAAGTAGAACATCTCAGTGGGGAGTAAAAGCAGATGCTTCACAGAAAAGCAGACCTGGACCAAATGTCTGCTCTGCTACTCCCAAGCTGTGTGATCCAGGGCATGCAACCTTCTCAAGTCTCAGTTTTCATGTCTGTGAAAGGAGGATTATCCCACCACTCTCCCGGGATGCTGGGGAGATTCGTTGGGAGTATGCATGTGAGGCGCTTAGCCCTGGCCAACTCGAGGAAGTGCTACAAAACTGTGATGCGTTATGATTAATATGATCTTATCCAGCAGCTGTTTTCTTCAGCTGCAGGCATTTACTGGCTTGATGATCACAGACTGTGGGAGACGATGTTCAGCGACACCAAACTCTAACGCCCATAGCTGACACCTTAGAGGATGGGGAATGGACACAGCTGGCCCTTTGCAGCCTCCCGTCTCCCTGGCGTCTGACTCAAGGGCCTGGGTGTTTTTTTGCTGACTTCAGGCTTCTCCTAAACTCCACTCTGAATGCTGCCTCCTATGCTCAGGATCTCTTTAAATCTCTTTCTCCTCTCTCCCATGGAAGCTCACAG